TTAAACATAAACATAAAGAAGGAAACCAACAATTTCTAGTATATAAAAACCCATGGAAGATTGTTTTCTTTTCCGAAAGATGAGTACAAAGCAAATGGTCCAACAGTATATATCACAGTATTACATTTCTTTGGGCCTTTAGGATGTTTTTTTGGGAATATTTCCTTTCTGAAAAGTTGGGGAGATAAATTTTCTTTTATCAGTTTGAAGACCTCATGTTGCTTGTCAATACCTTTTACCAAATTTCCTATAGTTCTATAAGTTATGATGTTATGATGTTTTGATCTACGTCTAAGTTAATTGAAGTTGTTTATGAACATAAATCAAGCAACGGTAATGCAAAGTTTATGTCAATGTGATTTGTATCATGTTCTCATGTGTTATATTATTGTATTTATTAGCATTTTATTATAAACCTAGCATCAGGTCATGAGTAGCGATTGCTGGTTTTAGTTCTTGAAGTTTGGATTAAACTCTACATTTTTTTCCTTACTGTAAATATATATGTTAGTACACAGAGCCTAATATAATATGTATTACATCATTTGTATATTTGCCAATAGAATTCTTCTGACTCATTTGTTGAATAAGAATTCTATTTTTAGTTTCTAATTCTCAAAGAATTCTATTTGGGAAAAAGAACTACTAGATTTTTTTGCAAAAAAAAACCCAAAAAGTTTGTAAAAAATACTCAAAAAGTATGCAAAAGGTCCTAAAAAGTTTGCAAAGAGCCCCCAAAGTGTTTGCAAAAAACCCCTCAAAAAGTTTACAAAAAGCCCCCAATAATTTACAAAAAAATATCCTAAAAGTTTACAAAAAACACCCAAAAGTTATATATATAGCTACTATAGTTAAATGGGCAAATGGATGACCTGTTTATTAAATGGGTGGGCAAAAGCCCGCCCATTTAGTAAATATTAAATGAGTCATAAATGAGTAAATGGGCAAAACATGCCCACCCATTTATGACCCGCCCATTTAATACCCAAACTCACCCATTTAACATCCCTATGACTTTCTCTCTCGTCTCTCTCTCGCCTCTCTGACTCTAG